ATTCGCTATGCCGGATATGTAGTGACAACTATAGACAAGGTGATAGAAGCGCGGCCATTGTCAAAAGGAACATCAGCACAGAAGGCAGAATTAATCGCACTTACACGGGCTTTGCAATTGGTTGAAGGGTTGAAAGTAAATATCTACACAGACTCAAAGTACGCATTTTTAACCACTCATGCCCATGGAGCTTTGTATAAAGAAAGAGGATTACTGACCTCAGAAGGAAAAGAAATCAAGTACGCAGCTGAGATATTACAACTATTGGAAGCTGTATGGGAGCCTAAGGAAGCTGGTATCATACATTGTCGAGCACATCTGAAAGGTGATGGTGATGTGGTGAAAGGAAATCGGATGGCAGATAGTGCAGCTAAGCGTGCCGCTGAATCCGGGCAAAAAGAATATGTGGAGTGTGTAGCAGCTCTTATACCGACCCCTCTGTCCCAGTGGACTCCAGTTTATACAGCTCAAGAAGTAGAGTGGTTAAAGACTGAAGCTGGGAAATATTTGGAGAATAATTGGTATCAGTTAGAAGATGGAAGAATAGTTATTCCAGCATCGCTAGCTGTAGAAATTGTCCAGAATTATCACAATGTCACACATTCTGGAAGAGATAGTATGGAAGAATCTCTTAGGAAGCATTTCTACATATCAAGATTGTCCAACTTGACTCAAGCCATTGTTCGAATATGCGTGTCATGTGCCAAGAACAACGCAAGGCAAGGTCCAGTGAAACCACCGGGAGTCCAGTACATGGGAGGGCTTCCTATGTCCGATCTCCAAATAGACTACACGGTAATGCCCAAATCCGGCGGACATCTTTACCTACTAGTAGCTGTGTGTACCTACTCAGGATGGGTAGAGGCGTGTCCAACTCGTACAGAGAAAGCAGGAGAAGTTGTGCGATTTCTGTTGCGAGAAATAATACCCCGATATGGACTACCGTGTTCTATAGGATCAGATAATGGTCCAGCTTTTGTCCATCAGTGCCTACAACAACTGACTCATATGCTTGGTATTAAGTGGAAACTTCATACAGCATATAGGCCTCAGAGTTCTGGGAAAGTGGAAAGGATGAACAGAACCATTAAGACCCAGTTGGCAAAAATGTGTCAAGAAACCCAACTCAAGTGGAATGTTCTTTTGCCAATAGCTCTGTTGCGCATTCGTAGTAAACCTACCAGAAAGTTATGTCTATCACCCTTTGAAATTATGTATGGGCGTCCACCTCCCATACTTAGTAACTTAAGGGGGGACTTGAGTCAGTTGGGAGAAGGAATTACCCGGCGGCAGGTTGTAGAGTTGGGTAAAACTATGGAGGAGGTACAGAAATGGGTACAAGATAGGTTACCTGTAAATATTTATCCACCTGTCCATTCTTACCATCCAGGAGACCAAGTTTGATGGGAGTGGAACAGTAAAATCGCTAGCCAAAGTGGAGGGGTCCTTATGCTGTTCTTTGTCTACTCCAACAGCTATAAAAGTGGCAGAGGTGACTCCATGGATTCATCACTCCAGGGTTAAACCAGCAGCAGATTCTTGGCAAGCTACTCAAGATCCTGAGAATCCCTGCAAGATCCGGTTGAAGCGAGTGACCCAGTTAGATTAAAAGTGTTTTTTGCGAAGAGTATTGTTACAAGGGAACATCAACAAAGATCTACCAGTAAGTGTTTTGACGGCCACAATAAAGCCTGACCATCTACCAACGTTTAAGCCAGAGGAATCCTCTGTGAAGAACAGTGAGGATCAGAAGGACTCCATTCCCTGCAGCCCAGCCCTCACACGCCTGGAAGCTGAGGTGCCGTCGCACGGTCGAAGAATTAGGAAGAAGATGTCAGGAGTAATGTGTTTGATGATATATATATGTGTTTTTTTAATTATTCAGGAAGGTAGAGGTACCGACACACCAGGCTGCGAGGTTTGCATTAAGACTACGAAAACAGGCAATCGTATTTCCCAGACCCTTATTTGGCATTCGCAATATGAGTGCACAGGACATGTATCAAAGTGTAGATACCTAGGTACAGATTATAGTGTATGCCATATAGGAGCAGGAGAACCTAGGTGTTTTAATCCTGAGTATCAGCCCCGTACAATTTGGTTGACTATTCGGAATGAGAACGCACAGGGGAACCTGATAAATAAGACTGTACTAGAAAGCGTACATTCTCCAGGTGTTTTGCTATTTGATGCATGTAAGGCGATATCAGGTAGTAGGAAGCCATGGAATGTATGTGGTGGTCTTAAATGGGGAAGAGCGTGTGGGTCTAATGATAAGTATATTTGTCCTAGTAATAAGCATAAGTATATAGATCCAAACTGCCTAAATAAAGACTACAATTATTGTCCGTATTGGTCCTGTGTGGGATGGGCAACCTGGGGATAGACAGTAGATAAGGATATGATTATCACTAGATTGCCTACCAGGCCATATTGTAAGTCTATGGAGTGTAACCCAGTCCATATACTTATCAAGGACCCAGAGCTATTTATAGATAAGTTTGGGAATCTATTTGGGTTCCAAATATATGGAACAGGTTTGGATCCTGGGACGATATTATACATAGGAATAGAGACAGATACAGTGGCCCCCCAGACTCATCAGGTTTTCCATTCTTTTTATGAGGAGATGAGTGTGGAAGCTAAGGTTCCCCATAATGCCAAAAACTTATTCATAGACCTAGCTGAGAGCATTGCTGGTAGTCTTAATGTAACCAACTGCTATGTGTGTGGAGGTACTAATATGGGAGACCAATGGCCTTGGGAAGCAAAGGAGGTAATGTATTCTGGTTCTGAGACAGTTGAACAACTAATATCTTCTCAATCTGATTATCAAGTGAGTGTTAGAGGTAAATCTGAGTGGCGATTAAAGACCTCCATTATAGGTTATGTTTGTATAGCAAGGAAAGGAATAATGTTTAATACATCTGTAGGAGAATTGACTTGTTTAGGGCAGAAAGCCTATAATGACGATACAAAGGATACTATTTGGTGGTCAGCTTCAAATGTCTCAGAACCGTCTAATCCGTTTGCAAATTATACCAATTTAAAGGATGTATGGTTTGACCTATCTGCTACATCTAGTTGGAAAGCCCCAGCAAATTTGTACTGGATTTGTGGTAAGAAAGCATATTCGGAGTTACCACAGGACTGGGAAGGGGCATGTGTATTGGGTATGCTCAAACCATCCTTCTTCTTGTTGCCAATTGAAACAGGAGAGACTTTGGGAGTTAAAGTATATGATGTAAATCATAGGAAGAAAAGGGCACCCCTAGAGATAGGTACCTGGGAAGATGATGAGTGGCCTCCCCAGCGTATTATAGATTATTATGGGCCAGCTACGTGGGCAGAGGATGGTACTTATGGATACAGAACCCCAATATATATGCTTAATCGTATTATAAGATTGCAAGCAGTAGTTGAGATAGTTACCAATGAAACATCACAAGCGCTCAATCTCCTAGCAAAGCATAACACTAGGATGAGGACAGCCATCTACCAGAATAGATTAGCTTTGGATTACCTATTGGCAGTAGAGGGAGGTGTATGTGGGAAGTTTAATCTAAGCAATTGTTGTCTTCAAATAGATGATGAAGGGCAAGCAATAGCTGAGCTTACTAGCCATATGGTTAAGCTAGCACATGTACCTACTCAGGTATGGAAAGGGTATAATCCGAGTAGTTGGTTTGGTAGTTGGTATGAGCAGTTTGGAGGAATCAAGGCATTGGTAGGTGGAGTCATACTGATTTTTTATGTTGTGTCTCCTTCTGCCATGTCTGATTCCTTTGGTAATTAGGTCTATGCAGAGCATTATAGAAAGTATAGCAGAAAGAAAGGCCGCAGCACAGGTAATGGCTGTTTGCAGGTATGAAGCTCTAGATCAAGGAGAATACATGCAGGAAGAGGAATGTTGAGGGGTTCGTATCTTTAGAGGATCGCAAAGTCTAGTCTGGTTTATGGCAACTTGAGGTGTAAGCAAACTATGATTGGTGATGCATCTGGAATTATTTTAAATCAGAAGCATCAAAGGGGGGAATGTGATGGAATTCCAGTAAAATAAAAGTTTAGCAGGCCAAGATTGCCACAAGGCATATGTAGGTACATGTGTTTGTAGTATCAGTTAGTTAGTTACACGTAGCTAAGATACTGTCATCACTGTACTGAGCATGGGCAGGAATGCAGGAACTGGAATTATGCGTCCCTCTCCTTTGTTTCAGATGAGCCACGTGGTTAGACCAGATGGATGAGTTTAGACTCTATTCATTGATTAGGTTAAGGGTATGTGTGGGCGTAGCTAATTATGGGAGGAGCTACAGTGCTATATAAGGAATGTACTCTATGTATTCAGCGCTCAGATCTTTGCTGTTTTTGGTGACATAAGTCCCTCTGAGTCCCGGTCGGTGAATCGAATAAAGATCTCTTCCTTCCTGAAGAAACCTGTGTCCATCTCTCTGTGCTTGGCCTCCGTCAGTTTCCCGGTAACAATACAATAGGTCCTAAAGTGAGTCAGACATGTCTAAATGAAGAATTTGTTAGAGGATGTGTCAGAGTTGGAATGTGAAATAGACATGCAGAGAATTAGATTATTCTGTCAAGAGAAATGGACATGTTATCATTACACGTTTCATGTGAAAATATCAATGGGTAGCAATTTGTTATCTCGGTAACAAAAGAAAAAAACCCATAACATTATTGTGTTTAACCCCTGCCCATCGGATGACAGACGGGGAAGCAGGTAAAGCCGAATGATGGACCAGGTCCGTCATGCAGTAAAATTAACCCCAGATTGCAGCAATCGCGGGATTAATGCTCCTCCGGTATGCCTCTGTATTAAAGGCAGACCAGGAGCACCCGATCGCGCTGTCCCTGCAGCTGTGATCGCTCTGACAGGCTGTTAGAGCGATCACATGTGCTGCAGGGACTCACGATCTGCCTCCCTGCTCTTCTGTTTAAGCCATTTTGTTGTTGATTAACTTCTATGCTTTGGGTCATTGTCCTGTTGCAACACCCATCTTCTGTTGAGCTTCAGCTGGTAGACAGATGGCCTTAGGTTCTCCTGCAAAATGTCTTGATAAACTTGGGAATTCATTTTTCCTTCGATGATAGCAATCCGTCCAGGCCCTGACGCAGCAAAGCAGCCCCAAACCATGATGCCCCCACCACCATACTTCACAGTTGGGATGAGGTTTTGATGTTGGTGTGCTGTGCCTTTTTTTCGCCACACATAGTGTTGTGTGTTTCTTCCAAACAACTCAACTTTGGTTTCATCTGTCCACAGAATATTTTGACAGTACTGCTGTGGAACATCCAGGTGCTCTTGTGCAAACTGTAAACGTGCAGCAATGTTTTGTTTGGACAGCAGTGGCTTCCTCTGTGGTATCCTCCAATGAAATCCATTCTTGTTTAGTGTTTTACGTATTGTAGATTCGCTAACAGGGATGTTAGCATTTGCCAGTGACTTTTGTAAGTCTTTAGCTGACACTCTAGGATTCTTCTTCACCTCATTGAGCAGTCTGCACTGTGCTCTTGCAGTCATCTTTACAGGACGGCCACTCCTAGGGAGAGTAGCAGCAGTGCTGAACTTTCTCTATTTATAGACAGTTTGTCTTACCGTGGACTGATGAACAGCAAGGCTTTTGGAGATACTTTTATAGCCCTTTCCAGCTTTATGCAAGTCAACAATTCTTAATCATAGGTCTTCTGAGAGCTCTATTGTGTGAGGCATCATTCACATCAGGCAATGCTTCTTGTGAAAAGCAAACCCAGAACGGGTGTGTGTTTTTTTTTAGGGCACGGCAGCTGTATCCAACACCTCCAGTCTTATCTCATTGATTGAACTCCAGTTGGCTGACATCTCACTCCAATTAGCTCTTGGATATGTCATTAGTCTAGGGGTTCACATACTTCTTCCACCTGCACTGTGAATGTTTACATGGTGTGTTCAATAAAAACATGGCAACATTTCATTCTTTGTGTGTTATTAGTTTAAGCAGACTTTGATTGTCTATTGTTGTGACTTAGATGATGATCAGATCACATTTTATGACCAATTTGTGCAGACATCCATATCATTCCAAAGGGTTCACATACTTTTTCTTGCAACTGTATGCCTTTTGAAATACCCTGGGATGTCTTCTTTAAGAAATGGTATGGCTTTATGATGAAAATATAATTTTGTCTCTTTATAAATTGCTGGTAAGACCACACCTTGAAAATGCTGTGTAATGTTGGGCACCTGTTCTAAAGAAGGATATCATGGCACTAGAAAAAGTGCAGACACGAGTTACAAAATTGATAAAAGAAATGGAGCATTTTAGTAACGATGAAAGGTTAAAAAATTTAAATCTCTTTAGTTTGGAAAAACAGCACCTCAGAGGGGTCATGATAACATTATACAAATATATTTAAGGCCAGTACAAACCATTATCTGGAAATCTCTTCATAAACAGGGCTATACATAGGACACAAGCTCACATATTTAGACTGGAAGAAAGGAGATTTCATCTAAGGCAAAGAAAAGTTAGCAATAAGGATATGGAATTCTCTGCCTGAAGAGGTGGTCTTATCAGAGTCCATACAGTTGTTTAAACCCTTAAGGACACATGACATGTGTGACATGTCATGATTTCCTTTAATTCCAGAGGTTTGGTTCTTAAGGGATAAATTGGATAAACACATGCAAAAACATAACATACAGGGATATAATTTCTAATTAGTGGGGTAATAGCTGCTTGATCCAAGGAGACATCTGACTTCTATTTTGGGGTCAAGAAGGAATTTTTTTCTAGTTTGTTGCAAAATTGGAAGCGCTTCAGACTAGGTTTTTTTGCCTTCTTTTGGATCAATAGCAACAACATTTGTGAGGAAGGCTGAACTTGATGGACGCAAGTCTCTTTTCAGCTATGTAACTATGTATTACTAAGACCATAGTTGTGAAAATGCTATTTACGTATCCTGTCTCTCCCTCCCCCCAATATGCGTCCTGTTTTTATACTTCCAAAATCTGGTCACCCTGGCTTTATGTGATAATGACAATGCCCTTCCCATTCATGACACTGTCAAAAAGGGGACAAGCATGGATGTCATTCCAATTATGCCCCCGCCCCCCCGAAAAATTAATTGCGGATGCCCATGGGAACACAGCTTGTTGGAATGGGAAGTAGATGAACAAACTGCCCAAGAGAAAGGCTTCAAGCCAGCAAAATTCCTGCAGAACAGCCCTGTATCCAACTGGCTCCATTCTGTACAAATGTTGAATTGGGCCAGAATTGCAGCCACCTCGGCAAATGCTGACTAATGATAATCATAAAACGTAAAACCGCTGTACTTGTGCCGCAGACCCACCAACTTGTGCAGTAAAAGGTCCAATGACTCGCACTTCTTGGGGTACATGGAACAAATAACATCCCTATATAACTCAAAGGCTAAGATAAATTCTGGAATCCAAAGCTTTTTGTTAAGTCTTGAGTCTCTGGCTTTAAGGACCACTGACAAGTCCCCATAGCTGTATACCTTATACTCTATAAGGTCCAGCAAAACTATCAACTATGACACAAGGTTTACATCCTTATCTAAAATATCCTTCCTAATAGATGGGTGAACCAGAGGTGCTGGAGTTATAATGTGTAAAGTGGAAATGGTGGGAGGAAAAACAATCTGTGATCTGGGTTTTGGGGCTGAGACCACTGAAAATTGTGACGGGTGATGGCCTCTTGTTTACAGTACAAAAAGGAGGGTAAGGTGAGGCAATAACTATAACATGGGGCTATTTGGCAAAGACCTCTGTGTTGAGGGACCAATCATGATTTTATGCTGAACTATTGGCCAGAACCTGAACCTCACAGCCAGTTGTGTGTGGGAATAAACACAAATAAATATACCTCAGAGTATCCATAAGTGAAAACAGTGAGGTATATAATATAATTACCTAGACATATCACTGGAGCCGCTAAGAACTGACCAGATAATATTTTGACTTGTCAAATTTAACTCAACAGTTACGTAGTATTTTGCTAAATGAAAACCAACTAAAAAACCTTAGAGATACAGAACTAATACAGCCTATTAAGCAAATTATTAATTACATAGCAGTGTGATGTAACAGATATGATACATAATGAATATGGAATAAACGTGGACCAAGCATAAGTCAAAATATAGCAAATGAGATAAGCCCCTCGTCACCCAGGGAATGAAGGGACGTAGTAGTGAGTCAATAGGCAGAGTATGAAAGATACTGGCAGGGCCGTCTTTAACGCAGGGCAAATGGGGCAGCTGCCCCGGGCCCTGTCCCAGCTGGGGGGCCCAAGACAGCTGCTCCTTTTGCCCTCTGCCCGCAAACTATGGGGCCCATCGGGTGGCCCATGCACTTAGGGCCACCCGGTGGGCCTGTGTCAGCAGGGGCCCGGTCGGGCGCTGTGGTGCTTTAACAGCGCGACCAGGCCCTTGCTTTTTCGGCAGCACTGGGAGGAAGTGACAGCCGCGCATCACTTCCTCCCACAGAAACAAGAGCCGCTCGGGAGGAAGGAGCTGTTCCGGAGGGGGCCAGGCCGGGAGAGCTTAACTCCCAGCCACCCCAGCCAGCCCACTGGACCCCAGGGAAGCCACCCTCCAGGAAAAGGTAAGAAACTGGAGGGTGGTTATCAAATTTTGCATGAGTGTCTGTGTGTGTGTGTGTGTGTCTGTGTGAGTATGTATGTATGTCTGTCTGTCAGTGTGCCAGTATGTCTGTCAGTGTGTCAGTATGTCTGTGTGTGTGAGTCTGTCAGTGTATGTGTGGTTCTGTATGTCTGTGTTTGTCAATATGTCTGTCAGTGTCTGTGTGTATGTGTGTTTCAGTATGTCCGTCTGTGTGTATATGTGCCAGTATGTCTGTCAGTGTGTCAGTATGTCTGTGTGTGTGTGAGTCGGTCAGTGTCTGTGTGGTTCAGTATGTATGTGTGTATGTGTGTTTCAGTATGGCTGTCTGTGAGTGTCAAAATGTCTGTATGTGTGTACGTCTGTCAGTGTCTGTGTGTATGTGTGTTTCAGTATGTCTGTCTGTGTGTATGTGTGCCATAATGTATGTATGTCTGTCAGTATGTCTATGTGTGAGTCTGTCAGTGTCCATGTGGTTCTGTATGTCTGTGTGTATGTGTGTTTCAGTATGGCTGTCTGTGTGTGTCTCTGTGTCAGTACGTCTGTCAGAATGTGCCTTTGTATCTGTATGTTGTCCGTTTGTGTGTGTATCTATATATAGTCAGTGTGTATCTGTATGTGTCCTTGTTTGTATATGTATATCTGCATGTGTGTCAGGTTGTGTATCTGTGTATATGTGTGTCAGTGTGTGTGTCGGTGTATCTCTATATGTAGTCAGTGTGTGTACCTTTGTATCTGCATGTATCAGTGTTTGTATCTGTGTATCTGCATGTTTGTCAGGTTGTGTATCTGTGTTTGTGTCTATCTGTGTGTCAGTGTTCTATATGTAGTCTGTGTGTATCTGTATGTTCTTGTGTGTATCTATATGCGGTCAGTGTGTATCTGCATGTGTGTCAGGTTTTGTATTTGTGTGTATCTATATGTAGTCAGGGGGCCCAAGTTAATGCTTGCCCAGGGTCCAATCAGAATTAAAGACGGACCTGGATACTGGCATACAAAAAAGCCAGATGATGGTCAAATGAAATAGTACTTATAATAAGCAGAAATATAATAATGAAACAGTGAAATATTAGTTAATTTGAACCTCAATATGACAGGTACAGATTATAGCAGATTTTAACCGTAAGGAAAGAAACCGAAGGATTAATGAGGCCTATAAGTTGTAACACTTCTAACAATGTGAAAGAAGCAGAAAAAAAAAAAGAATAATGTAACCTTCAGAAGATTAAAAGATTCTAAATTAAACAGAAGGCCGCAAATGAGGGCCGAGTATGTAATAAGATGAACTGAAAATAAGAGCTGTAAGAGCCAATGTAAAAAGTAGGCATAGCATCATAATGAGAATAGAGTAGAAGCCATGAAGACCTAAAACAAATACCTTATTAAGTACCAATTGAATGGGGAGCTGAAATAAGCTGCCAATAAGTAAGGATGTAAGTACTGTTGGAAGAACAATAATAGTTTAACAAAATTTGAGTGTAGCCGTAACAGACCCAGGACCTTATACTCAACATCTGAATGAACCAACCGTGACTGTAAGATATTATAACACAAATATAGGTTGAAAAGAAGGCCAAACAATCATAACTGAAAAATACAAACAAAGAAACACAACAGTGTGATGAATAGGCACTTAGTGATATAAAAGGTGTCAAAAAAATTTACAGCTGAAAAACACTTTGTGAGCACTCCAAAAAGTGGGACTTACCCCTCACATAAATATATATTTTGGATGAACGGAAAACAAAAAAAACAAGAATATATATAGTGGGATATTGTAAAGATAACGAGAGTATTTTATTCTAAATAAATGGAAATACACTCACATGGATGAGAGCCTTTTGAGGATATAGGCTCTAAACTCAGGGACTTGTG